CAACTGGAGGTCGAATGTCTCTAGGAATAGGCCGAGGATTATTGCTGTATGACGACTCCGAGGTCTGCTACTGGGCCGAGGCTTGGACATTATATCACGACCAGCCTCTCGGAACGGCGTGATTATCATATTCAAAGACCGGCCTCGTCCCCGCCACCTCGCGGACGAGGACCGTTGCTTGACCATATCTTGATCGGCATCTCATCGCCGACATCATTATATCACGACCGGCCTCTCGGACCGGCGTGATTATCACATTCGAAGACCGGCCTCGTCCCCGCCACCTCGCGGACGAGGACCGTTGCTTGACCATATCTTGATCGGCATCTCATTGCCGACATTATCATACCACGACCGGCCCCTCGGCTCGGCGTGTTCATCTTTTGAAGACCGGCCTCGTCCTTACACCTCGCGGACGAGGACCGCTGCTTGGTTCTTTCAGGTCGGCCTATCATTGCCGACACCATTATATCACGACCGGCCTCCCGGCTCGGCGTGCTTTCCATATTTGAAGACCGGCCTCATCCCCGCTCCTCGCGGATGAGGGCCGTTGCTTGATTCTTTCAGGTCGGCCCCTCATTGCCGACACTATCACATCATGTTCGGCCTCTCGGCACGACATACTTAACTTTTGAAGACCGGTTCCATCCCCGCGATGCGTTGGATGAGAGCCGTTGCACGGATATATCGGCCTGACCGGACACTATTGCCATCTCCTCATCAGGACCGACTGCTCAGCGACATTATGATCATTGTTTGTCGGCTCCCAATGCCGACCCTCTTGAGTTTGCGATCGGGCTCACGACTCCCCTCCAGGAGGGTGACCATCGCCTTCGCATGACGACCAGCTATTCTATCGCCTCGTCATTATATTCGTTCGCTATGCCACCACCATTATGTGTGACATCCCGTGATCCCTGCGAGCTTCTTGGATACCGAATGTCTTCTTCGATGTAGGAAGATCGGTAGGACCACGGACCAGGGACGGACAAAGAAGAGCTAGGGAATCTCGATGTAGATAAACCTGTTCCTCCTTGCGAGTTTTGCGGATACCGAACGTCTCTTCGAAGCAAGAGCGTCGGTAGGACCAAGAACCAAGGACGAACGAAGAATATAGATTGCCTCCCTCAAACAAAAAAAAAAGATGGGGAGAAGAGGAGGTGAGCTCCTATGTGGAAGGGAATCTTGCCCGGGCGTGCCAGATCTTCTCCCACCGCCGAAGACGAACGCCTCTCGATGTAGAGGTTAGTAGAGACGCGGAGGGGGCTAGACGAACCAAGGGAGCTTTGCCAAGATAAACCTGTTTATCCCACAAAGACCATGGATCGATGGACGTGGGATAACAAAGCCGGGAACCCGTGAGGGTAAACCAGTTCGTCCCTGCGAGTTCCTTGGATACCGAACGTCCTCTTCGAAGCAAGAGACACTGGTAGGACTAAAAGGACCACGGACGAACAAAAAAGGGGGAATCTCGATGTAGATAAACCTGTTCCTCCTTGCGAGTTTCGAGGATACCGGACGTCTCTTCGAAGTAAGGACGCCGGTAGGACCAAGAACCAAGGATGAACGAAGACTAAAAGACTCCAAAAAAAAAGAGAGAGAGATGCCAGAAGAGCACGGAGCAAAGAATGATTTTATCCCTTGGCGCTATTGGCCGGGAAGTACAAACTGAAAAACATATGTAAAGAATAATTACAAAACTTAAGTACGAAGAATGAAGTGGCCGACGACGATCGGCTAACATCAGACTTTCTTTTGCCTTGGACGACGAATACCAGCTCCCCAGATCAGACAGAGGGACGACGCCCAGGTCCACCCTTCCTCTCAGGATGAATTCCTGACAGACGATCGGCTTCTCATAGCCAGCCAAGACGGACCGCGCCTAGATTTCACGGTTCGGCTCGCCCATTCCCTTCAGGATGGCGACGACCGTCTTATGCAGCACGACCGGCTTCTCAGCGCCATCGTGTCTCTTTCACGTTCGGATCGCCCCATTCCCTCCAGGATGGCGACGAACGTCTTATGCAGTGCGATCGGCCCCTCAGCGCCATCGTACCTGGCTTCACGGTTCGGCTCGCCCATTCCCTCCAGGATGGCGACGACCGTCTTATGCAGCATGATCGGCTTCTCAGCGCCATTGTGTCTCTTTCACGTTCGGATCGCCCCATTCCCTCCAGGATGGCGACGAACGTCTTATGCAGTGTGATCGGCCCCTCAGCGCCATCATACCTGGCTTCACAGTTCGGCTCGCCCATTCCCTCCAGGATGGCGACAACCGTCTTATGCAGCACGATCGGCCCCTCAGCGCCATCGTGTCCAGACTCACGGTTCGGCTCGCCCATTCCCTCCAGGATGGCGACGACCGTCTTATGCAGTACGATCGGCCCCTCAGCGCCATCGTACCCAGCTCACGTTCAGCTCGTCCATCCCTTCCAGGGTGGCGACGAACGTCTTATGCATCACGATCGGCCCCTCAGCGCCATCGTGTCCAGAGTCACGGTTCGGCTCGCCCATTCCCTCCAGGATGGCGACGACCGTCTTATGCAGTATGATCGGCCCCTCAGCGCCATCATACCCAGTTCACGGTTCGGCTCGCCCATTCCCTCCAGGATGGCGACGACCGTCTTATGTAGTATGATCGGCCCCTCAGCTCCATCATACCCAGTTCACGGTTTGGCTCGCCCATTCCCTTCCAGGATGGCGACGAACGTCTTTATGCAGCACGATCGGCCTCTCAGCGCCATCGTGTCTGGCTCACGTTAGGGTCGCCCATCCCTTTCAGGACGGCGACGAACGTCTCTTATGCAGCACGATCAGCGCTTCAGCGCCATCGTGTCTAGCTCACGTTAGGATCGCCCATCCCTTTCAGGATGGCGACGAACGTCTCTTATGCAGCACGATCAGCACCCCAGCGCCATCGTGTCTGGCTCACGTTAGGGTCGCCCATCCCTTTCAGGATGGCGACGAACGTCTCTTATGCAGCACGATCAGCGCCCCAGCGCCATCGTGTCTGGCTCACGTTAGTGTCGCCCATCCCTTCCAGGATGGCGACGAACGTCTCTTATGCAGCACGATCAGCGCCCCAACGCCATTGTGTCTGGCTCACGTTCGGGTCGCCCACTCCTTCCAGGATGGCGGCGAACGTCTCTTATGCAGCATAATTGGCCCCGCGGCGGCATCATGTCTAGTCCATCTTTGGCTCCGCCCATGCCATCCCGGATGGGGGACCCGTCTTATGCAGCACGTCTGCCTCTCGGCGCTGACATGCTCGAGTTCTCGTTGAGAGCTACCGCTCCGATCACATCTTGCATTCCCTCTCTCATACATTGCACCCATACATTACATGCCTTCATGCATTCATGCATCATACCTCATACATTCATACATACACACGTGCATCATGTTTTGACAGTACCGCGACGTCAGTTTTTAGATGCATGGACCTCTCAGCTTCTCCGATTGGAAAGCTCGAGTCAGAGTGCTTTACTCCCGCCTGATGCATCCAGGCGGAGTGTGCCCGTGGAGGAGCACCTTTCGCCCGACCCTGTCGGGAAGGGGGGTGCCTCACTGGTAGATTGCGTTCAGGAGTGCAGACACTCACTCATATATTATGATTATGTGAAGACACAGTTTCCAGCAAGACAGAGGAAGAGCGCAGGCAGAGTATATTTTCTCGAGCAGATTCGCGAGCTCACTACTCAAGAAACTGGGGGACTAGTGTTGGGATATATTATCCCGGCCTATTACTGTTCAGGAGCCCAAGACATTATCCAGTACGGAGCCCGAGCAGCTAGGTCCATTTCGGCCCATTCTGGCCCACTTTTGCCATTAGGCCCAGCATTAGCCCGTTTGGCCCATTAGGGTGGAGAGCCCCTTCTCCCCTTCCCCTATTTATATGAGGTTTTCCCTCCATGTAAAGGATCCGATTTTTCCCTTCTTCCCCAACTCATTTACTCTCTCTAGATTAGATAATACTCCATTAATGGGAGCTCAAATTGTACTATGTAATGGTGAGGAGAGTCCTAATGAGAAAGAGAGGGCTTGTACATTAGCCTAAAAAGTCCCATGGTTTTCTCCCTTTCGGGTTTCCACGTAAAAACTGAGTGTTCATACATATATTTACTATATTGTGTTGGATTAAACTCAACAAAGTGTTTGAGTTTGTAGGTTCAAATGGCTCCAAAAGGGAAGTCCGCAAGCTCCGAGCTAATTGTCTCCCAGCATTTCCCTATAAATAGGATGGTTCTAGCTTGATCAAAAGCATCAAAAATCGGAGAGAAAAGTAGTGAGAGTGATACACATAGAGTGAGTGTATGAAAGGGTTGTTTTTTTGTAATAGTTGAGTGAGAGAGTTGCTCCTCCTATTGTAATTTTGTTCTGGTTATAAATAGAAGAATTTTCCAATCCTAAAGTTTGAACTAATTCTCGTGTACTATAGAAAAAACTTTAACATAGAACAAATACCATAATACGGAGTAGTTTTTTGAGAGAAAATATTATAATAGTTAGAAAGCACAACCAAAAAAGTAAAAAATAAAACACTTTTGCTATTTAGTCTAATATACTTGATTAAAGTTTTTTTCAGAGACGTTTTTTTCATAAATGTACTTCATTTATTATTCTGCTCCCAATACCTATTATTCCTGGATCTGCCACCGAGTGAAATGAGATGCAAAATAGAATGGACACAACCAGACCTAGCTATCATTGACATTGGAGTTTGTATACCATACAAGTGAGACAACGTAGTAATCTAAATTTGATTATTGGTGGAAAACTAATTGAAGTATTGTATTGAATCATAATATTATTATATAATTACCCTTTGTAATTATCTCATACGTTTAGCATATGTAGTTGAGTAATTGTAATTATCTCATACGTATAGTTAGCTCTATCCCATAACTTGTGGTAGTTAGTTAGCAGATCTTATCATAGCCCTTTGTAAGCCTATATATTCCATGTACGTACATCGATGAATGATGCGATCAATATAATACCTTTTATATAATTCTTCATGGTATCAAGAGCCTATCTCTAACGAGCCAATTTTTTTTCCGATCCATCTATGGCGCCCATCACCTCCACCACGCCGGTTGTATCTATTACGGCCGCAACCCACTTTCCCATCAAACTCACTACGTCCAACTACCCCGTCTGGAAGTGTCAGGTCCATTCTGCCCTAGTAGGTCTTGACCTCGACGGATATGTTGATGGGTCTCTAACTGTCCCAGACAAATTCCTGGATGCTGCCAAGGCTCAGCCAAATCCTTGTTATGCTATTTGGTACCGTCAGGACCGCACTATCATCAGTGCCTTGCTTGGCAGTTGTACCGACGCCATTCAACCCTTGATCTCGTCTGCTACCACGGCAAAGCAGGCCTGGGAAAAACTCTCGCTCACTTATGCGAGTACATCGCGGGGAAGAATCATTTCCCTCAAAACAGCTCTTTCTCGGACTACCAAAGGGGGTCAGTCCATCACTGAATACATGACTGAAATGTATGCAATTTTTGAGGCGCTAGCTCTTGCTCAAAACCCGATTTCAGAAGAAGATCTGGTCATCAATATTCTCAATGGCCTTGGATCCGATTATGGTGAACTCAGGTCGGCTATCCGTGTCCGCGAAACACCACTCCCCCTTCAAGAGCTTCAAGACATTCTTCTGGAGCATGAACAAAAACTCCAAGAAGCTGCCACATCAGTTCAAAGTCTCGTACCTACTGCCCATTTCACACAGGCCACTGGGCGTCAAAGTGACCCTACCATGCATGCAGACCGTCGCCAAGTCCAGCAGGTTGATCGACGAGGACATCATGTTCGGCGGGGACGTGGGGGTAATTTTCATGGACAGTCCAGGTTCCCCTCATCACATGGAGCAGTGTGCAGATTCTGTAACTTTTCAGGCCATGAAGTCAAACAATGCCGAAAGTTACAGAGATTTTTACGTGATCATCAGATACTTACCCCCTCTAGTGCTGCCTCACCGGCAGTTCACACTACGACGGTCAACTCTATGACAGGTGGTCAACAATGGTTATTTGACAGCGGTGCTTCGCATCATGTCACGTCGGATAACAACAATCTTCCGACTTACACTGACTATGGTGGACCTGATGCGGTTCATCTTGGTGATGGTAATTCCCTGACTATTACTCACACTGGTTCAACCAGCCTAGCCACTAAATCCCGACCCCTATCTCTTTCTAATGTCCTTTGTGTTCCCAGTCTTGATAAAAATTTAATTTCTGTTGCTAAGTTGTGCAAAACTAACTCTGTTTCTGTTGAATTTTTTTCCACCCATTTTTTTGTCAAGGATCGGGCCACGGGGGCAGTGCTCATGCGCGGGGAGAACATCCATGATGTCTATTACGTTCAGTCACCGCGATCTCCACAAGTCAATCTTTCTAGGGTCTTGATTCCGTCTCATTGGCATCACATTTTGGGGCATCCCTCTCGTCGTATTTTTAATATGTTGGTTCATCAAAATAAAAATGTTATTCCATGTAACATTTCGTTGAACGAGTCTCATTGTTCCTCTTGTCATATTAATAAAAGTACTAAACTTCCTTTCTCTCTAAATACTCTCCAAGCCAGTTATCCCCTAGAATTAATCTACAGTGATGTATGGAGTACCTCAACTCTGTCTATTGATGGATATACGTATTACGTAAGTTTTGTAGATTATTTCACACGGTATACTTGGTTATATCCGATAAAAAATAAAAGTGATGTGTCCGTTGTGTTTCCTCAGTTTCATCGCCTGGTTGAAAATTATTTTAACCGTAAAATTAAATCACTCTTTACCGACAACGGGGGTGAATATATTAAATTACGGTCATATTTAAATAACCATGGCATCTCTCACTTTACTACACCACCCCATACTCCGGAACATAATGGTATTGCTAAAAGACGGCATAGACACATTGTTGACACCGGACTTGCTCTACTTCATTATTCCGGTCTGTCTCAATCATACTGGCCATATGCTTTTCAAACAGCAGTATATCTTATTAATCGGCTACCCAACTCGGCCACTAATTACTCTACACCGTACTTCCGCCTCTATAATCATCACCCTAATTACAAAAAGTTGCAACCATTTGGGTGCTTGTGTTATCCATGGCTCCGTCCATATTCTACATCCAAAATTTATGCTCGGTCATTACCGTGTATATTTATTGGTTATTCTCTATCTCAATCTGCCTACTTGTGTTTCGAACCCAGTACCAATCGAGTCTACACGAGTCGCCATGTACGATTTATTCCTCATATTTTCCCATATCGTTCGTCTCATCCCGTGTCTGTGTCCAGCCCGTTTCCCTCGTCTACATGCATGATACTGCCACCCGTGGTCCCCTCTAACTTGCATTATTCGTCCTTATCATCAACAACCCCTCCTAGTCAAAATCCTCCTAACTCTTATCCTCCCACGTGCCCATCTACCACGCCAACTCACCCTGCCTATCCAATCCTATCTCCTAACACTTCTCCTCCTATACCAGACATGACCTTATCCATCCACCAACAATCTACTCCCCATATACTAACCCAAATACCAACCCCTCCCAATTTCCTGGAGATTTCACCACCCACTCACAAAATAATTGTAATTCCACTCCCATGCAACCCTCGGTACTCTCACCGAATGAAACCTCTACTTCCAACTCTACCCACCCGACCCCCCTACATCCAATCAAACCCCACACGCCATAAACCCACCTACCCGACCAACTAGATCACGAATTCCAAATCCCAAATATATCGGTGGCCCATTTGTCAACGCTACCACTAAACACCCTATCTCCCCGGTACTTGAACCCACCAGTGTGAAGCAGGCATTATCTGACCCAAGATGGGTTGCTGCCATGCAGGATGAAATGCAAGCCTTGAGCCGGAATCATACATGGAGTCTGGTTCCTCCTACCCGACAACCTCCTATAACATGTAAATGGCTCTTTCGCATTAAGCGAAATGCAGATGGCAGTATCTCCCGATTCAAAGCCCGCCTTGTGGCTCGTGGATTCTTACAACAACCAGGACGTGACTACTCTGAGACATTCAGCCCAGTCACAAAACCGGCTACTATTCGCATCATATTGTCCATTGCACTAGCTCGGAACTGGTCTCTTAGGCAACTCGACGTGAACAATGCTTTTCTACATGGGACCCTCACGGAAGAGGTGTATATGGTCCAACCACCTGGTTTTCGGGACTCTCAATTTCCTACACATGTTTGTAAATTACACAAGGCGTTATATGGGCTCAAACAGGCTCCTCGGGCCTGGTATATGGAACTGTGCCGATTTCTTCTTTCTGTGGGCTTTAGAAAGTCACATGCAGATGCCTCATTATTCATTTACGCTTCCAAAGGCACACTAATCTATTTTCTTGTCTATGTTGATGACATTGTTCTTACAGGAAATGATGCCAGTGCAATTGAGGCATTTGTTAGGCAACTCACTCACAGATTCTCGGTTAAAGATCTTGGCATGCTACACCACTTTCTTGGCATTGAGGTGGTCCCCACTCCTACTGGTATTTTTTTGACACAACGTCAATATATAATTCATATTCTGGAGAATTGTAAAATGAATGGTGCCAAGGAGGCAGCCACTCCAATGTGCTCCAAAGCACCACTCTCCCTCACAGATGGTACCTCTCGTGCGGACGCAACGGAATATAGACGCACTCTTGGCCTACTCCAATATTTATCATTCACCCGGCCTGACATTTCATTTGCCGTCAACTGCCTTTCTCAATTTATGCATGCACCAACCGAGACTCATTGGCAAGGAGTAAAACGCATACTAAGGTATCTCAAAGGTACCCTGGATCATGGGTTATTTCTCAATCGGTCATCACCCTTAACTCTTTCTGTCTTCTCTGATTCTGATTGGGGGGAGTGACTGATGGGGGACGCTCAACTACAGCATATGTTCTTTATTTAGGCGGTAATATCATTTCCTGGAAGTCGGCAAAACAGAAAACAGTATCTCGGTCATCTACTGAAGCCGAATATAAGGCCGTTGCAAATGCCAGTGCTGAAATGTTATGGGTGCGCAATCTGCTCACTGAGTTGGGCATTTCACTAACTACCACACCACAACTTTTTTGTGATAATCAGGGAGCTACTTACGTGTGCATTAATCCTGTATTTCATTCTAGGATGAAACACCTTGCATTAGATTTCTTTTTTGTCCGTGAACTAGTGGAGCGTGGACAACTTGTGGTGAAACATATTTCTACAAAAAATCAAATTGCTGACATTCTCACAAAACCCCTCAGCAAGACACCATTCCAGCTTTTTCGATCCAAGCTAGGAGTATACGTAGTACAATGCTATAGAAAAGTTGTACGTTGATTTAGTCGATCAGTAAAAGAAAATGTGATTTTGAATTAGTCAACTTCTGAGTGTAACTCGTTCGGCTTTGGTATCATCTGTGAAGGCCGTATGATGAATTGGCCATTTCAATTTTCAATGCATATAGGCAATCTAGCAATGTAGGGAATTGCTTATTCTATGCTTCCAAGATACTCCGTATTATAAAGAGCTAATCCCTCAAATAGGAATAAAATATAGAGAGAGTGTCAAAAAAATGATTATATTTTTTTTAAGAAAAAATTGACATTATTAATCCTAACTATTTGTGGTCCGCATTTAACAATCCCTACTATGAATTATTTCCCTATAGTCCCAACTAGGCATGGACCCGGTTCGGGCCGCCCGGCCCGGGACCGGCCCGGCCCGCCACTGTACGAGCCCGGAACCGGCCCGGTTCTCGGGTCCGGGTCCGGGTCCGGGTCGGGCCTAGGCCCGGTGGGGTGGCCGGGTCCGGGCTCGGGCCTTGAATTTGGCGAACCGGCTCGGCCGGGTCGGGCCCGGGCCCGGGCCGAATTGATTTTTTTTTTAATTTTTTTTTCTTTTTTTTGGGTTAGCCAACTTGGGCTTGATGGTTAGGAGGGGTTTGGGTGTTTGGGGGGGGTGTGGGGGGTGAGTGGGGGGTTAGGAAAGCAAAAAAAAAAAAAAAATTATAACCGAACCGGAGGCCCGGCCCGGCTCGGCCCGGACCCGGACCGGACCCGGTGGCTACCCGGGCCGGTCCCGGGCCTTCCTTCCCAAAAAAAAGCCCGGCCGGGCCGGCCCGGATTCGGAACCGGCCCGGCCCGGGTCCATGACTAGTCCCAACTCTTATCACCTTTTTTTTGAATGAATTCGGCATAGATTAATAACCAATAATCCAGAGTATGAGGCAAATGACAAAAAGAAAACAGATAACCGTTATCTCTTGAATCAGACTCGGAATTAATCGCCGTAACAATAAAATTCACTGATCCATAACCGGGAAACAAAAAGCCAAAAACGGTTACCATATTCCTCTCAACACCCAAATCCAAAATCAACGTCTTACAAACTGGAACAGAAACCCAGAAACAAATATCAAAGCAAAAATAACAATTAATAAGGACAGAATCATCGGTTTGACCAGCCACTGAAAAGGAGATCTAATTGATTGCTAATTTTCTCCCGGAGTGAGGCGGTGATTCAGGAGATGGACGGGTAATTGAAGCTTCATAACAACTAGGCTGCATTAGCCTTGCCAATCACAAATAATGCAAATTCACCACTCGATCGGTTACACCGACAAGGAACACACAACCTCTAGACATTGCTAGGAATAGAAGATATCTCGCGCTCACATGAAGTGGACGGAATTTTCGATCAAAGGAGTGGGACCAAAACCATAACCCTCGAAGGGACAAATCAAATAAAAACTGAAGCATAGTAAAATACATACTCAGATGCTATAAACCTGTTCCAAATCATCCAACCTGTCTTGCTTTTGCGCCTTGTTGATTGCCGCCATGCTCAAACTCTCTGCCTCGGCCGGAGCAGATTCCTCGAATCCCCGGCCAGCCAATAACAAGCAAATAACGAAGTAAACCAATCTCGTGCAAACAACGAAGTAAAAACAAATCTTGGCCAAAACAGCCGGACCAAACACTCGGAACACAATCGACCGGAGAAACAGCAACAAAACAACGAAGCAAACCAAGAAACGAGACTAAACCATCCCCATATCCCACCAGGCCCACTGGAGTTAAACAATTGGTTTTCTTCCCACCCATCTCTCGCCTCCCTCGCAGCTACAGAAATTGAAGATAAATTAGAGAGCAGGAGATGCACATCAGTCAATTTTTCTTCATCTTCTTTTGTGTAATTAAACATCTCATTGATGCGGAATAGTGGAAGGTCGTCCTGGGAGATTGAAAATTATTGGAGAACTCTGGGCGAAGTTTACAACAAACTCTTCTTGCACTAAAAGAATTTCTCAGAAATTTCTCTATTGATTTTTAGGTGAAAAAAATCAGATAAACAAATGTGTTGATTCAAGATCAGAGTCGTCTTATTTCGATGGTCCAGAGAGTGATTTTTATTTTCAAAACAAAGGGAATTGACGATCTCAAGATCGTTTGAAGCAGCTTCAGATTAAGACAGAGAACGAGACAAAACTTCAGATATTGCTCGATCTATTTCTCGTGTTTAATCGTCGTTGATCGATT